AGTTTCCACTCTAAGATGCAAGGATACACAGTCCCTGTAGCCACTTGCCTATCTTAATGAATGTTGTGGATACCTAACATTTGTTTTAAGCTCTTGTCATTTCGAAATTTATTTTTTTATACTTCTCAACCCCTATCCCCATACATTTGGTAGGTGGGAACATGGCATTAGTGATGGTATCTGTCTCAATGTAGTTTGCCTGTTAAGAGCTCGTGTTACAGTTGTTGGCAAAGGGCTTCATTCCTCTGCAAGCTCATGGGGTTGCTGTTGGACGTTGTGCTTCACTTTTCATCTCCTGTAACTTCTTGTCAGCGGTAACTAGTAGGTGCTCAGTGACAGCGAGGATGAATAGCGACGACATCCTGGATTCTTCCCCATCTCGGGCCCTCGCTGTGCTATTTGGAGGCCTGGGGCTGCCCCGGATGCTTGCTGGTCAGCACAGGATGTCAGCGCTGTCAGACGGCTTGCAGCTGGACTCTGAGAAACTCACCCCATGGCTGGGCCCCTTGGCTTAGGCCCTTGTGTCTTTCAGACTCTCGGCCTGGAATGTTCAGAAAGAAATTCTTTAAGCAGCCCCCTGCCTGCATACCCCAGGGCAGAGCTCTCAGGGTCAGTCTGTCTGTCCTGAGAGCCCTTGTCCAGCCTGAGAGTTTGGGGAGTGACCTTGCGTCAGGTGGGCTCAGCCCAGGGTGATCTGGCGAGCACTGTTCTGCAGCCTGGTCTGCCCTCACAGCGGACCTTGGAGGAACCTCCGCCTGCCCTTTCGTGGCTCAGAGGTTGTAAAAACAGCAGCAAAGCCACTGTGTTTGGATGTCCCTTCAGTCTAATCAATAAGTGCAGTGTTTTTTGGACAGTGTGCATCACAGAACATCCCTGGGGATCTGGTAGGGCAGGGAAGCACTGGGGGAAGCTCTTGGGAAGGATGGACGTTTGACGCGAAGGTGGCAACGAAGAAAAGGGCTTCCCTGGTGGCTCAGATGGTCAAGAATCTGCCTGCAATGCAGGAGGCCTGGGTTTGATCCCGGGGTTGGGACGATCCCCTGGAGAAGGGAATGGCAACCTACTCCAATATTCTTTCTTGGGAAATCCCATGGACAGAGGTGCCTGGTGGGCTACAGTGCATGGGGTCTCAAAAGAGTCGGATACGACTGGGTGAAGTGAAAAGAAAAAAAAGTATTACTTCTCAGGTGGACTTTTCTCTAAAGTACTGTGTTTGAGTCAAACTTTTGCTTTAAAGCTATATTCACTGTTTATTCTCTTGAACTTTTCTGAAAAACAGACATAAAGAAAGTGTATGCTCTTGCTTGAATTCACAGTGATCTATCATTACTTTATGTCTGCTTCTAATCAGGATTTTAAAAAAACCCTAATATTTGGTTATTTTGTAAAACAGTATTTTGAAATGTCTGATACATTTATGCTCTTACTTTTTTCTCTCTAAACAATGAACAAAAAAAATCATCCTTAATCTTGCTGTACTGACTGGAGTACAAGAAAAATCTAATGCTAATTGCAATGACAAAGAAGTAAAAAAGGTTTAAGAAAAGTAAAATGTAGCTGGCAGATGCAACGAGCACGAGGATTATTTTGTAGTTAAAAATAGGAACATGCACCTCCCTTTTACTCGTCTGAAGGCTGGTTACCGACAGGACTTTGTTGTTGTTCAGTCTCCAAGTCACGTCTGACTCTTTGAGACGCCATGGACTACAGTACAACATGCTTCCCTGGCCCTCAACATCTTTCACTTTGCCCAAGTTCATATCCGCGGGTGCCATCCAACCGTCTCATCCTCTGTTGCCCTCTTCTCCTTCTGCCTTCGATCATTCCCAGCATCAGGGTCTTTTCCAATGAGTTGGCTCTTCCCATCAGGTCTTGCCCCTAAATGCCCCAAAGACAGAACTCCTCTGAAATCTGGGTGCCTTTTCTAAGCATTTTAAATAGTAGCACGATGTTGCTGGGATGGTGCAGCTGTATTTTCACTGTCACTGATGATAGTGCCTGGTAATTACATGGTGGGCTCCATCTGCAGCTGTAAACACAGTGGAAATGTTAACTGTTTCATTCTCCCAGCATCTCTGCAGAGAGCCGGAGAGGCTGGACCTTTGTGGTTTGGTTGTACGTTTGGTCTGGGTTGTATCTCATCGAGGTGTCCTGTACATGTATGTGGTAGAGCTGGGAAGGTAACACCTTTGCTGCAGATGAAAAACACGATGTTGCCATAGAAGTAGGAGTGGGGAGGATAAGCCTCCTGACTCCAGCAGGCAAATGTGCAACCAGGTTACTATTTTGATTACAGGATAGATTGCTGGAAACAGCAAAAACCATTGTGTGTTGAGAGGTGCGGAATTTTATTTCTGATGTACCTTATCTGCTCCTGACCTTTAAAAGGAGCAATCCATCACTGCTCCCTTGGCAGTAATTTTTATGGCTTTTGTTTCTTTTAAAAAGTCATTTCTTACTAGGCCTGTTTTTTTTTTCTCCTTTTATATCTCAAAGAGTGAAATACCAAATAACTTTGAAATTTATACTAGTGAACTTCAAAAGCTGGACTAGACTTTCCAGAGATTTATGGAATGGAACAAAATAATTATTGTACAGTTTAAAAAATATCTTAGCTATTGCTTTAATGCACTGCTTCAGTTAATCAACATGATTTCAATTTATTATGCAAATACAGCAATTATTCCATTCAAAACATTAGAAAGATTACATACTTTGTTTCCCAGCACAATAAATGGTGTTGAATGTTCCTTTTTTTTTTTTGATTTGCTTATTTGGTCTTTAGTGACAATCCAGTTAAAGTAAAAGTCTTTAAAGTGGCCGAATAGCATGGTAATGTGTCTTCACTGGTAATTTAGTACTCGAATATAATGAGTTAGTACCCGGATATAATGAGTTAATCCAAGGGATGTCATTAAAAACAGCACGGTGCCTGAATACCCAAGCTGAGATGTTTTTAATCACAGAATTATAGTAATTACATAAATCCTGGGATTTTCATCAGACGGAAACAGGCACTAAACATGCACTTTAAACTCAACACTGATAACCATGTACTGTGCTCAAGTGTAGGCTGGAGAATCCTCAGGCCAAGGGAAACACTGCAGAGAATGTTATGTGCTGCATCTCAACGGAAAATTGGGAAATCAATTTGATAACATAGTAGTATAGTAAGAGGCACATCACCTGGGAAGTAGGAGGGAAACTCCCAGCTATGGCTGTGGTACAAAGGGGGTGACCACTCAGACTCACTGAGCCCTGCTGTTCACTGCATTTTCAGCACACGGCGGGTGCAGAAGGGTCACCTCCTCCTCCTCCCAGGAGTCCAGAAGCTGGTAATTGCCTAGAATTCTTCCAGTCCATCAGTGAGACAGCCCACTGGTAAATGAGGTGAGAATCTGGATATCTAGGTCTAGTGAAGACTATCTGAAAAGTAACTTTGTTATCACAGAGATTTTTTAAAAGTGTTGAAATGACCCAGAAACAGTATCCTCAGGGAGCTCATGTCAGAGAAGTGATCTATTGAATAAGAAGATGCATCTAGGAAAATTTATTAAAATCTCCCCAAACAAAAAATCTTATTTGATTCATTTATTGTTCTTTTTCCTGGCTCAGATGGGCAGGGGAGATGAGAAAAGGGGATTGAGGAAGGGAGGGGGTGGAGGGGGTGAGGAAGAGAGGGTCACTGATGGGTGGAGGAGGAAGGGGGTACCCGGGAAAGGGGGACAGTGGGTCAGAGCCAGGTGGCTCTGCATTTGTTTGGGGGGGATGGTGAAGTTGAGGTGCAGAGTGTGTGTGACAGGCCGTGTGGTCTGGCTGGGTATTCCTGGTGAGCCACCAGGACGGGGAATTCCTCCTGGAGGGTGGGCAGAGGCATCCTGGGTTTGAGTTCTCACCAGGCAGTGTTTCAGGTCCCCTTCTCCCGGCCTCACCCCTTTCTCTGTAAACTCATCACCCGCTGCCCTGGAAGAGCTGTCTGCGCTCATTCTGCATGTTACCATCCAAACTTAGCATTTGCATAAATGGCAACCCACTCCAGTACTCTTGCCGGGAAAATCCCATGGACGGAGGAGCCTGGTAGGCTACAGTCCATGGGTTCGCAAGGAGTCGGAGACGACTGAGCGACTTCACTTCACTTTCACTGAGCCTCCAGGTGCTTCCGCACTGCTCAGCAGAAAGCGTGAGGACCACCCTGACCGGCTTAAAGCTCTGCCCTAGGCGGGTGCCCTCAAGATCAGAGATGCTCACTGTTTGCATCTAGCAGGGCTTGGGCAGGCCCTGTCTGCAATCCCATTGTCACTTAAGTTTTGCTTTTCCCCTTTTAACCATGAAAATAATATGTGCCATTGTGGACAATTTACACGATAAAACTCACCATTCATCCTGCTCTAGTGAGAGAGCTCACGTTTTGCCATCTTTTCTGTTTTTCTTTGCATGCTTTGTATTTTGTGTGCACTCCTCTGCAAATGGTATCTGCATTCTGATTCAGAAACACCAAACAATATTTAATCACCTGTTGTAAGCATCTTCTTTTTTCTTTTTGCCACACTGCATGACTTGCAGATCTTAGTTTCCCACCCAGGGGCTGAACCCGGCTCTACGGCAGTGAGAGTTTAGCAGTGCTAAACACTGGACTGCCCGGGAATTCCCAGTATTTCCCATAAACCCCACTGCATATCGATTATTGAACACAAGGTGGTTATTTGCCTTGAGTGAGTGTTATTGTCCTCTCTCTCTCCCCAGATCCCCTCTGGAAGGTTACGATGGGAATGAGCCTGACCACTTGGACGGTTTCCCCGACTTGTTGCCTCTGCCCGCAAGTTCGTCCTTCAGAAGTCAGGAAAGTGCTGCGTGTGGCGGTCGCCTCCCAGGAGCAAGGCGTGGCGGTGTAGTTAGGAATGGATGAGAGCGGCTCGGGGGGCCTCGGCCGCGTGCTCCCGGAGCTCTAGTCTGGGGACGCCCCTCGCGGGCCGGGCCGCATGGCCGACTCCTAAGCCAGGATGCTGCGCCGGGGGCTGCTCGCCTGGGCCTCCCGCGTGGTGGTCTTGCTCGTGCTCGTCTGCTGCGCGGTGTCCGTCCTGTACATGCTGGCCTGCACTCCGCGGGGCGACGAGGAGCGGCTGGGGCTGCCCCGAGCCAACGGCCCCACAGGCAGGGCCGGGTCCCAGGCGGCCGCGCTTGGCTGGGAGGAGCGCCACCACGACCACGTCGGGAGCCTTAAGAGGCAGATCGCGCAGCTGCAGGACGAGCTGCAGGAGCGCAGCGAGCAGCTGAGGGCCGCGCGGCAGCTGGCCGGGGAGCCCGCGGGCGCGCCGGGCAGGGCCCAGGCCGACCTGCTGGCCTTCCTGCGCTCGCAGGTGGACAGGGCGGAGGTGCACGCCGGCGTCAAGCAGGCCACCGAGTACGCCGCCGTACCCTTCGACAGCTTCACGCTGCACCGGGTGTATCAACTGGAGACCGGCCTCACCCGCCACCCCGAGGAGAAGCCGGTGCGCAAGGACAAGCGGGACGAGCTGGTGGAGGCCATCCAGTCGGCCGTGGAGGCCCTCAACAGCCCCGCCGAGAGCAGCCCCGACCAGCGGCCCTACACGGCCTCGGACTTCATCGAAGGTTGGCCGGCTCGCCACGGGGGGCGGGAAGTGGTGGGGGGGCCCAGGGTCCCGGCCCAGGCAGGGCCGGGCTGCGGAGGTCCGCGGTGGCTTTGGGGATGAACACACAGCTCTGTGTGAGCCACTTAAGGATGAGGGCTGCGGTGGCCGGGGCATGTAAGACAACTCAGCGTGGCCGGCGAAGGTGCAGAGTCAAAGAGGGAGCACAGGAGACAGGGGAAGCTGACCAGGCAGCACCCCCAGGAACAGGCTGACAGTACTGCTGACTGGGGCAAGCACAAATCCACCCTCATCCCAGGCGGGGCCGATTTAGACCAGGTCAGACTGGTTTGAGCTGGCTGGGACTTCAGACCAATTTTAAAAAGCCTCTGAGGCTGGTTTAGACCTGTTTGAACCGTCTGAGACTTGTTTAGACCAATTTAAAATGCCTCTGGGGCTGGGTTAGACCTGTTTGAACTGGCTGAGACTTGCCTAGACCAGTATAAAAAGCCTCCCAGCGGTTTGACCTGTTTGAACTGGTTGAGGCCCGGTTGAACCTGCTGAGACCAGGTGGAACTGGCTTTAGACCCATTTGAACTGGCTGAGACCAGCTTAGACCAGTTTGGATTGCTTTAGACCAGTTTGTACCATCTTAGACTGGTTTATGCTGGCTTAGCCAAGAGTGGTTTTGAGTGTGACAGGCACTTTTCATTTTGTGACTTCTTTTTTTTTTTTTTTCATACTTAAATCAAATTTTTTATTACAAAAAAATGGAGAAAATTATTCAAACAGATATAGAAGCACATAAAAGGAAAAAGTGAAACTCTTGGCTATTTGCTCCTGTGGGATAACCATATTAACTTTGGAATATGCTTCTGGAATATTTTACAGTAAAGGAAAAAAATAGAACTAACTATTCTAGAACCTTTTTCTTTTTATTAGCAACATATATTTCTCCTTTGACAAGTAACACAAGCTCTGTGAAACTAGGGATTTTGTCTATTTCCTTCACTGCTATATTTCTAGGAACTAAAACACTGTCTGGCACAAAGTAGGTGCCAAAACATGTTCGCTGCATGAATGAATGAAATCCTCCTTCCTATCAGATCAGTCACAAATTTCATGGAGTCAGGGATGTGTCTATTTGGTCTCTGTGATCCCAGCACCAGAGAACCTGGCACAAGGTAAGCACTTAGTATCTGTTGAACTAGCAAGACAACTCAATGATGAAACCACCTAATTTTTTTTTAACTGTTCCAGTGTGTTTACAGTACCACAATAATCAGCTATTCCCCAATTCATGGAAAAAGTCTCTCACAAACACTGTTGCAATAGTTGTTCTTATATATATATCCTTGTTTAAAGACTTTTTTAGGATAAGAATTACTTTTGAAAAAAAAAAAAACCTTTTGTGGGGCAATCACTGACCTGATTTAAATGTGTTCTGAAACCTCTTGTCTCTAGAATTTCATAAATTAAAAACACTTAAGATTAATTTTTCAGCTTGTTTAAAAGCCACTGCCTGGAACTCTGCAAAATGATCTCCCTTTCAAATCTCCAGTAGAAAAGGAATGCTTCTCAATCCTGTCTAGATGCAGCCTGAACACTATAACAAACAGGCTGCCTGCATCCTTGGTGACCAACATCTCTTGGATGCAACACAGTAGCAGTTTAGTCATCACCTGGAGAAGGCCATTTTCAGGCAGGTCTCTATTGTTGATTCATCCAGCAGAAAAGAGAAAGGAGACAGGAGAGTAACAGACTTCCAGGGCCTGAGCTGGAAGAAGATGCTGAGAAACTAAGAGCTGGACAAGACCAGGAACAGGAGCTTAAGAGTATTTTTGAGTTCCCCAACAAGTGAAGGTACAGAGCTCTATCTGAACTCTCCAGTGGAAAAGTTTTTCCAGAAATTTACCTTTCTGCTTATTTAATTTTTTCACTCCAAAGATATTAAGTAAATCTCTATTATGTGTCAGAGTTGTGCCGTAACTGGGAAGGAAAAACCAGGCAAGATGGACCTACTATCCCCCATCCTGGCACTGAAGCTTAAGGACCATTGTCAAATCACGAAGAGATCTAACTGACAAATAAAGACGGCTAGAGACCTTTACCTACTTTCCACCAGGGAACAGAATTCCTGTCCCAGTCACTGCTGCTTCTTTATGAAAAACACTGCTCCGTTTCTCTCCATGAATGGAGAAGTCGGTCAGAGATCTTTCCCTTTGAGTACACCCCAAGCAAAACTGGTCCACACACACTGAGTGTACTTCCCTTTTCTCCAGGAGCATCTGCCACACCACAGGCCTTGCTGGGCCATCTTCTTAACTGAGGCCAAGGAGAACTGTGCATTGGCACTTACTGTTGCAGAGTCAACATTCAAGAAGTATAAAACGTGAGGCTTTTAGGGAATCAAGACGATCTAGTCCTACTCCAGTAGTTTCCTAACCCGTTCTGTGGATCACAGAGCTCTTTGAGAATAAGTGACCCCTTTAGACTTCCTGTATGGAAAAAAACACACATATATCTCAGCACGTAATTTCCCCTGTATTTTCAGGAGTTTCATGGACACACAATGTAATCGAATATCTAGAATTCCAGAAATCCCTTATTAAGAATTCTTACCCTCTGTAAAAGCCCACTTGAGCGCTAATGTCCCAGTTAGCAGTCTCTGAGTTGGGAGGATGGAACACAGAGGCAATGTAGTGCCTGTGCATTACCACACAGGTCCCAGCTCAATCCCGAGTGAGCTAGTTATCTTTAAAATATGGAAAAACTCTGCTTGGTGGCCAAGGACAGAATTTCTAAAATCAGTCAGCTGAGCCATCTCATGTTTTCAAAGAAGACAACACCAAGCCCCAAAATGAAGTGGCTGAATCTAGTGGCATTGAAAGGTGACAGCGGCCCAGAGGTTGTTAGGATTGCTGCCCACTGTTGACAGAGCAGTAATACGCGTATGGATCCTCCACTTCATATACATTTTCCTCAATGATATAGATGTTTTCCTCTGAGTGAATCCCCTCTCTGCTGCATTTGCCAGCCCTGAAGGAGAAAGGTTGGCCAAAGTGATGAGGCTTGAATTTTGTATCTTCTCTTTTCTATCAGAATACCATTTGAGAATTAAACCACCAGAGATAAGAATCAGAGCCAGCCCAGCAGAGACTCCTGCTCCTATGTAGAGGCCTGTTGTGGTGGTGGCACTCATGTCTTGTAACTCAGTAGCCAGTGTGGATATTTCTGTCTGATTTTTATTATGGAGGGTCTCCAGTGTCTGTGTCTCTGAGACAGGTCCCTTTGTGGTGAGCATCCTTGGAAAGGCTGTAGTGATGTCCCTCCATGGAGTCCAAGCTGGAGTGACCTTGGCTGGTTTGATGATCAATTCCAGGTTTGATTTTCGATCATTCATTAGCCCTGGGAATTGGATCCGGCAGCAATAGGTCCCACTGTCAGCTAAAGTCACATTCTTTATGGTTAAGGTCACGTCTCCTTTGTGCAAATCCCTCTTTAGTAGGTATCTGCTGGACGTCTGAGACACATATGCCCCTTTCAAAGAACTTGAGCTCTGGGCTTACACCAGCAGACACCTTCTCCACCTCAAGCCGAAATCCATTTTGTGACTTCTTATAGGCACTTTTGGAGACAGGATCCTTTCATCAGGCTGTAGACAGGACAGGAATAGCCAACGTGTGCCTATAGCACTTACGCTGGTCCAGCTCTCTTTTAGCAAGTTTACAGTTACAGTGAGCCCTTTTGTGGGGGGCGGGGGTGAGGGGATGGAGGCTCAGATTAAGTAAATCACTTAAAATTGCTCCCTTACCAAGTGACAGTGGGATGTGAACCCAGAATTCTGATTCCAGCATCTGGGTCCTTAACCACTGGGTCACATTGTGCAGACAGTCAGAGCACCTGGAAGCTGAGAGAGTGAATGACTCTTTTCTTCATGGATGCAGACCAACCTTGTATTAACTTGTGTTTGTGCCAGTTTTAGAGGAAAGAAGCCTCATCTTGATAGTTTCTTGCAGGCTCTTCTTACCGATTTTTCCATTGTTACTGATTCAAAAATCAGCTAATAATTCGGGAAAGACGCTGCCTTTGAGGGTGCCCAACTTTTCCTCCTGTTTCTGAATAGGACCTACTTCCCAGACACGTGGCTTGTCCACTCGCCGTGCTCCCTACTGGGTTCTGTAATGACCATCTCGTCCACCTGCAGGCAGGACAAACCGCCTTTAGTCGTATGAGAAACCCTCCCTCTGCTCCTCATGCCTGTTCCCTTTGGATGCCTTCCTGTCTTACCATTTTTCCCTTTACAGGTGAACTGTAAGTTAATGCAGTTTTGATATATTATCTGTTTTCATATACCTGGAGCTTGGTAAAGAAATCTTAAACAAGATCAAGCTTTTGATGTGTCAGCTGAAAAAAAAAAAAAAAGCACAGCCTGAGAATTGTGAATTAAATTTTATTTGGGTGCAAAATGAGGACTTTAGCCAGGGAGGCAGCATCTCAGCCATCTCAGGATACACCCCCCAAGAAGTGGGGTGGAGGTCAGGCTCTATGTGATTTTGGTGAAGGGGGTCCATGAAACAATGCATTTTGGCAGAAGGTTGCTGCTGGTCACGAGGAGCAGATGTCATTGTTGATGATTTTGGTACTTTTCCACATATGAGAAGATACAGGAAATAGGGCTCCTAAAATCTTCACCTGAAAGTATCTGTCTGAGACCTGTTCCACCAGTTTTTCCCAGAGAATTGAGTGCCTCATTTTTACTCTCTACCTGAACCTCCTTTCAGGGTAAGCAAGTTGAAGGTCAGTGACTTCAGTGGCCAGTGACTTCCTCCTTGTAGAGGCAGATAAGTGCCCATTTTTCATCCACAGGTGTCAGGATTTTTTTTTCTTTTACGTATTTATTCCGAGGTTATTAAAATGCTCAGCACACTGGGAAGCTAGTAAGTATAAACACAGGGTGGGCACTCAGTTAGTGTTTAAAATATTGTGAGGCTGTAGCCTCCCATTTTTAGAGTGCCTGAC